ATACTGATACTTGGTTTAGAGATACTAAAAGCCAAAAAGGATTTGAGAAAAATTCTTTTTTATATGCTGCGTTCTTGGCTCCTTCATTTTCTTCTAGCAAGTTCTACTGTGTAGCATCTTAAAAAACCTCTTTACATGTTTTTACTTTGGAATCTTCAAGGATACTCATTAGCCAAAACAGAAAAATGCACGCATGCTTGGGCACCCAATCACAAGGGATCAGAAACTTAATTCACGCACATCATGAATTTGAAAATCAGCCCGTAAAGTACCTAATTTAGGTACGACCAACGGGAGTCGCTCGAAGAGGGGAGAGGGACTTTGTATCTCGGAACCGATAAAAGTCCCTGCTTAACTTAGATGTGTTAAACATATCGCTAATGGAAGAATGTTGAAAATCCTCTTAGGAGGGTGAAATTGGAGTTTTGATTTCTAGTAATTTAGCTAGCGAAGCGCAATCGCAGTTTCAAGCGAGCAAAGCGAAACCAAAAAGCCTATTCCGAAAGCCGTCTTTCCCAAAAATAGGGAGGCAAGGGTACGCACCTAGTAGCTGCGAGCCTAAGATCAAAGGCAGTTCCAAAAGCATGTTCAGACTTGTAATTGCTTACAATTAGATACAGCGTATACATAAGGTGGAAAGAATTCATGATCTAAGACTAAGGTAGCATGAAAAAATGAATTGAAATATATTAAAAGCAGATGAAAGGGATTGATGTGTACCTGGGCTATGTAATGAATGTAAGCTTCTTGTATGCTGCTCTTTTTAACGGAGGATGTTGCTCTTTTCCTGTAAGCTTCCTGTATGTTGATTTCAATTAGTAGATCCTCCACGTAAGGATAGCACAAAACGTAAAGGTATATGATGATTCATGAACCAATATATCCTCTTAAAATGTTTGATGCACAAAACAGTTAAAGAATTGAAGAAAAGGAAGCATAAATGATCCAGTTTCTTCTTGAAAATCAACATCAACATCATATTATATAGGAAAACCAGCCACTAATATTTCTCTTTTCTATTGGAAATCAATGCAAACTGAGATTGCTTTAAAAATCAGTCCCTACAGCCTCTGTTTTATATTAAATCATTTTAATAGACAGCTGATTCGTTCCCAACGCACCATATGGCAGATTATCATTTGAGGTATGCATTTTTTAAATCTGACGAAACCTTCTAAGTTTATCATTTAGATACCTTAGTGCTGGCAGATACATGATAGTGAGTTACACTGGTCTTTGTTCTTACTTACAGGAATTCCCACTATTGGACATGGCCTCTCTGAGTACTGTTCTTGCTCAAGGCATGAACCGTAAGAAAAGGCACGAAGTAAGACATGGAATATTCTTATTATCATTCATATTTAAACTTCCTTTATTTACTCTTTTTTTCCTGGAGATATGCTATGCCTGGATGACATTGGAAATGTCTCACTATTGTTGTTTGCATGTTACTATGTGTTTTAACTTTTAAGTGATGGCAAATTGTGGCACAAATTACTGGTCATATCCAAGTTTCATTGGACCTCCATCTCAAGGGGGTAGCTGGCCAAAGAATATGTCTACAATCACATGTTTGATATGTGCATCATTTTTAAAGCACAAATTTGGAGTATTAATTTCTTTAACAACAGCAACCCAGGTGATGTACTGCAATATGTAAAACTTTTGACTTACAATAGGACAATCAGTCATTGAACACATATGAAAAAGGATATTTTTTTTGTTATTTTTTAGAAAGGAAACACACACATAGAGCTTGACTTCTCTAATTACCTTAAAAGCAAAGTGCTCACCCATATTTACTACACACACTATATGCTTTCACTACTTGTGTATGAATTCACAAATCACTCAGTCTAAACTAATTTTATTTAAAAGAAATCAAAGTCAGCCCTTATTGTTTCAAAAGCAGCCCCAAAAGTATGACTACTCACATTGAAATAAGCTTCACAATGATATTCTATTTCAATATCAGCATCTAAAATTTCTCTTCTTTCATGAAAATCAACTACAAATTTAGTTTCTTTTCCAAACGAGGGTGATTCACATGTATTCCAAAAAGTAACTTCAAATTCATATTCTGTTTCAAAACCAACTTCAAATATATACTCTGTTTCAATTTCATATTCATGAAATTCTTACGGGTGCTTAAGAGAAACCCTAGGATTCAATTCCTCTGTTTAAATTTCAATTTCATATTCACTAATTTGCAGTGCGTTCCACTTTTCAAAGCAAGATTAACATGCAGTATCAATTTGTATGTCGAAAATTACTCTTTAAAAAATCTAATTCAAAAAATGCAGATTTGGTTATCTGAATTTGAAGTGCATAAAAATGCAGCAAAGAAAAATTATACTCTCTAGGTAAACAATAAAGGGAGTGAGCACATGATTAAGGATAACAAAATTAGGTTTTTGAAGATGGAAAAGCTGGGAAAAGAAGGAGAATTAGAGGAAGGGTTGATGAGACCCATTATCAAGATTAGAGAGAAGATTTACCTGGATGGAGTGAAGGAGAACAAGCCTTGGAGAAGCAGGAGGGTACGGGTTATTTATTAATAGATGGGTGGCCGGTGGAAGAGATTGTGGGGCGGTGGCGGTGGCGGTGGTGGGAAGTACGAGAGCGAACGGCGGTGGCGGTGAAGGAAGTACGAGAAGAGTGTGGGGAAGGAGAGAAAAGCAAGGAAGAAAGGCGGTGACGTGTGGGGAAGGAGAGAAAAGCAAGGAAGTGGTGACGTGGGTAAGGGACGGAAAAAGAGACGGGAAAAGAACTAAATTAAGGAGGTAAACGTAGTTGGCTCCTATAATATAAGGGGGGATTACGGCATTTAATTCTATCTAACAAGGTTATCTCTGTCAATTTACATTTCTTCCATTTCTCTCGCATGTAACCAATTTCACATCCCTTAATTATCGCTAGAGTTGGCAAATCGGTCGGTCAGTTCGGGTTCGGGTTCGGTCACTTCAAGTTCGGGTTATTTCAGGTTCGGGTCCATTTGGGTTCGGGTTGATAACTGTATGTTCATGACCCAGTGTCATCGGGTTCGGGTCGATCCAACGGGTTATGACTTTGGTTTTTAAAATTCTTAAAATAACATTAACACTTACATTTTCTATTAAATAAATTCAAAATATCAAAAAAATGTATTATATCTATAAAATTATTTTATTCTAAACTCTGAAGTAATTTTTAGATATATAAATCAATATAAGGAATTTAAAAATGCTTAAGTTTTGGAAAAAAGTAAGATAATTATGCAATATTATTAAAATTTTGTCTGAAAATATAAATTTATACACTAAAAACGAATAGGAAAGTGTATGATTTAGAAAAATTCTTACTTTAGCGGTCGGTCAGGTCTGATTCGGGTTCGGTCGGGTTTGACCTATTTTTAGCGGGTCATTTCGGGTTCGGTCAAGTTCGAGTTCGGTCATCAAAACCTTTGTTCAAAACCCAGTGTTTTCAGGTCGGGTTTCGGGTCAACAACAGGTCAGGTCATTTTTTGCCAGGTCTAATTATCGCCCATGATTTGCAAATTAACAATTATTTTTTGGGGGGAAAGGGATTCTATTACGGAGTATTCTTTAGGCCAAATAGTTTTGTATTGGGAGGGTCCCTCTGTAGATGCGTTGCGTATATTATTGCTTTTATTTTCATTCTTTTTTTTTTACACTTTGTTTGTTTTCTTATTTGTTATTGTGAATAAAAATAATGTATCTAAATACGAAAACAATGCATTCTCAGAGTCATGATTAAAAATAATGCATCATGTTGGTGAATTTTTTTGACACAAATATGATGCATTTAATTGTATATTTTAGGAAATGATTTATTTGTAAACAACGATACATTTGAAATGGTTTGTGATACATTTGAATATAAGTTAGAAATACATTGAATAATGTCTATTTTAAAACATAAAAGTGCATCTTTAATACATTCAAGTGCAAGGTAGATGTCTCTTTGAGAAAGCAGGTCGTTAACTATTAGCTGAAATGGTAGAGCGATAATTGAAAACAAACTATTTTTAAGAAGTCGGTTTCACACTTATTCTAATACAATGCATTTTTAGGCTTTATCTTTACATACAAAGTCACTAAAGAGTTATTATTTACAACTTTACAAATTAATATAATAAAATTTGGATAAAATTAAAAGACAAATCACAGTACATATACCGATCATTATAGTGCATTCGCATTACATCACAATGCAAATATCGACCATCGTAGTGCATCTTCCAAAAAAAGTTTGGAAATGTGAGATGTTAAAACTCATTTTCCCGAAAAATTGGCCTAAAAATTATTTCGTAATTTTTTAATTTGTTAAATAGTAGAAAAAAAATTATGTTTAAATTTGACTTTTCTTATTTTAAAATATGAGAGCAATATAATTTCAAAATTTTATGTTCAATATTGTTGTGGTTAATTGGGTAAATCTCAACAAGAGATTTTTAACTGCATATTTTTTTTGTCAATAATGAATTTACTTACAAAAAAATATTTATAAAATAAACAATGCAGTCAAATAATAATTGAATGAAATGGAATTGATATTTTAATATAATAACATTAGTTGTTTCTAAATGCTAGTAAATCGATTGAGTAAGTGCCCATATTTATTGAGAGACTATGGGATGCAGTTTCTTTTTTTATTCGGTGAGAATTGGGATAATATATGACCCTTATGCCCTTCATAACTTATTCCTCCTGAATTTTAGCAATATCACGATTACCTAACAAAAATAAGTTCATAAAGTCATCCAATGCAATATTAAATCCTAGCCGTCTGATTAAAGTTATCATGTGAAACACGTTTTCAGATTAAAGTTATTTCAGATTATACCCAAATAATTGAATCAAATAGTATCTAAATTGAGTGTTGAAGTTCTGTATATCAGAAGCATACCGTGGGACTTATATATATATATATATATATATATATATATATATATATATATATATATATATATATATACATACATACATACATACATACATACATACATATATATATATACATATATATATATATATATATATATATATATATATATATATATGATGGGTGACCCCCTAGGAAGTGTTTGCATATTTATGGGGTTGGGCTTTCATTGGGCTTCTTATAGTGAGCTATCTGCCTCGGGCGTTTAACGAGCCACGGGGCGGTCACGAGGTTAACGGACCTCGGGCCCCTGCTTGTAACCGACCGTTCCAATATTATTAATTAAAAAAACTTTTAAATATATATATATATATATATATATATATATATATTATTGGATGATAATTTTTATTAAAAAGAAAGGAAAAGAAAAAAGGAAAAAATACATGGAGGGGAGGACTAGACCACAGCCCCTCTTAAACTGCATGGAATAGAGAAAAAAACTGAAAGGGAAAGGAATATGGGTGAGAAATTGATCACTCCCAGATTATAAAACTGGGGTGCTGATCAAGGGAAGGGTTTCTAGGCATTACTTTCTTTGGTCTCTTTCCATCAGTTCCAATAGGACCGACACGACCGACATACCAAAAGGGCCCAGAGTAACTTTCGGTAGTGATGATTTTTTCCAAAGTTGTTGATTTTTGGCTCGGCCTGGTGATCTCACTAACCGTCCCGACTTCGAGGTTGGGGTCGTGGCTTCTAGTTTTGATTGTTCTTGGTGCATTTGGCCTCTTTGATGTTTTTTTGGTACGTCTTTTTTGGACATCTTGAAAGTCATTGGTTTCCTCCCTTTGATGTGATGTCTCCCCTTCTTCAATGTAGGATCTAATTTCGTAGTGCTGTCCGTCGATCTCAAAGGATTGAAGGACCGGTCCTATTGTTGATGGGTTAATACCTGCATCGTTAGTCAACAGTGGAGGAGAGTTATTGTTTTCCATAGGATCAGAATGAGTCTCTTCATTTCCTGCACATGAGGGACTTAGTGTTCTTTCCATCTCTTTCTCAAGACAATAGTTGTGTTCACCACTAGTAGCTTCCAACAGTTCTTTTGTGAGAACTGGAAATTCCTTTAGGTTGATTGGAGAGTGATCAGAATTGAACTCTTCATTATTATAAGTGTCAACAGTGTGTGTGTCTGCTAATTCTGCTTCAGAAGACAGATTATGTGCATTGCAGCAGTGTTCATTGTTATAAGGTAGAGGAGAGTTGGGTTCCATAGCAGGGGTATCATCTTGGACGTTGGTAGGAGTTGCCAAAATTACCTCACTGTTACCACATGCTGCTGGGCAATTGACAGTAGGAGTAACTTCACAACCATCAAAAATTTTCTTAACATCAGGATAAGCTTCTGTACAACTCTTGGGAAGAATTGCATCAGAAACTTTCTCAACATTATCTCTGTCATCACAAACATTAGGGACTGAGTCAACACTTACGCTAGTTGCTGGGAAACTGTCAGGGGGAGTTATAGCAGCAGGAACTTTGGTTGCCATGGCATCAACTGAAACTGTTGGGGTAGCAGCCCCAGCAGTATTTGAGTCTGTTTCTTTGACAGGAGACGCAGACCCGGTTGCCTCATTCTCAACACTTGAACCACCCAAGTTAATCTCATGTGTTGTTTGGGTCACTCCAGACTTAGAGGCAGCAGCAACAGTTGTTGTATTCCCAGTTCCAGTACTCCCTTTAACCCATCTAGATGTCTCATTCTTTCTTTTACAATTATTGTGACCAAAAGATTGGCATGAGGGCAATAGTCTGGGAGATCTTCATAAGTGATTGGCTGTGTGTGTGTGTGTGTATATATATATATATATAAAGGAAGTTTTATTTAATCCGAAGAAAAGAAGTGGATACATCACATTTGATAGCTCCCCTAACTTTAGTCGGGAGACTATCAAAAGAAATATAAATCGAAAAAACATTGTTTTGAATTGCATGTTGGGCCAAGTGATGGGCTGCTGTGTTTGCCTCCCTGAATATGTGATTTACTCGCCCTCCGGATCTATTGATGTGTTCCCTGCTCAGCCTGCTAAGAAAGTCGTTATTTGTCTGATCCTTAATTCTTTTAACACAGTTACTGGAGTCGCTGTAGAGATTGATTGGTGTGTCTAGGTAAAGACATCTTCGTACTCCACCGTAAGCAGCTTCAAGTTCTCCTTCCTCTGCGGATGTTCTGTTTTGGAGGTTGAAAGTCCATGCCTTCAGAAATTCTCTCTGTCTAGTTCTTAAGATGGCCGCTCCTGCCCCTCTACCTTCTTGTAGTGCAGTGTCTGTTGTGAGTATTACTCCTTCTGCTGGGAATTGCCATTTGTGTATGGAGATTGCGCCCATCTTCACCGAGGGTATATTGTGTGTGATTCTGATGCCTTCTATTTTCTGATTCGATTCATTGATGACCATCCATTCATATGTTTTTTTAAGAATGGTGTTGATGATTTGTTGGACATTGTGTTCCTCGTCCTCGTAGACCCTTCTATTCCTTTCAAAATTTCATGAGTAATTATGCCTGGAATGTTGTCGATCAACTAAGTGTTTTCTCTTTGTTTTTGTCCTTGCTTCCACCAGTTGGTTAAGTAACTACTCAAAATTCCATGATTGATGCCTCTGCCTATGCTGAAAACTTCCTCAAAGTATGTCCAGATTTGCTTACTGAAAGGGCAATTCTGAAAAAGATGTGTGCTGCTTTCCTCATTATTCCTGCATAAAAAACAAATAGAGGGACTATGGAATCCCATTCTAGTTAGTGATTGGGGAAGGGGGAGGTAGCCAAAACAAACTTTTCAAAGAAACAATGAGTGTTTAGGAGTCTGCTTAGAGGTCCAGCAGAATTTAGTGGAAGGATGGATGGGGTTTTTCTCTCTCAGTGAAATCTTTGCATTCTTCATGCTAAAACCAGAATCATTGTTATTCCACCAAAGTCTCCCAAAATCATCTATATGGAACAGACTTTGCGCAATGTCATTGGCTTTGTAAAGTCTTTTCCAATAGATAGAGTCTATGATTTTGGGGGCAGTGTCAAGACCTCTAGGGTATCTGGCCCTCATGAACTTTGCCCACAATGAATCATTTTGAGTATAGGTCCACCACATTTTGAGTCCATAAGCTTCTTGAATAGTGGTGAGATCAGTCAGGCCTAAGCCACCCTCCTCTTTGGGGAAGCAAAGTTTCTCCCAAGTGGCCCAATGATATTTATTTCTACCATCTACTTTACCCCAAAGAAAATTACTCATCTTTGTATGGAGACTCTTGATGATGCTCTTTGGAAGTTTGCTGCAATAAGTGAAGTGGAATTGAGTTGAGCACATGTTTAATGAGAATAAGTCTTCCATTCATGCTCAGGAATTTTTTGTACCAACCCTAAAGTTTGCTGTCAAAGAGATTGAGGAGGTCTGTGCAGTATTTCTGTCTATTAATACCTTGATGAATCTGCACACCTAGGTATTTAAAAGGTAGGGAACCTTTGTTCATGCCAAGGATTGCCTCTGTTCTCTTTAAAATAGAATGGGATGTTTTTTTTGGAGTGTAAAAAGAACATTTTCCCTGGTTAATTTTTTGACCAGAGCAATCCTCATAATCTTTAATCAGGCACTTAATTTTGGCTAAGTTTCTAGCACTGCCATTATATAAAAGTATAAGATCATCAGCATAGGCAAGATGTGTGACTGAAAGAAAGTGCCTCCTAAGGTAATATGAGGAGAGATGGCCAGAGGAAGTTTCTGCTTTAATGGTTCTGCTGAATGCTTCTGAGAAAAGAATGAATAACAGAGGGGAGATAGGGTCACCTTGCCTAAGTCCCCTATTAGGCTTAAAACTCTTGGTTTGATGGCCATTAACCAAAAGGGAGAAATGTGAGCTCTGAAGAAGATTTAGGATAAGATTTTGGAATTTATGACTGAACCCAAATTTATTTAGGACAGTCATAAGAAAATTCCAGGAGATCCTGTCAAAAGCTTTAGACATATCAATTTTGATAGCAAGATTTCCTCCTCTGGTAGGGTAATCTAACCCATGGATAAGTTCCTGGGCAATGAGTATCTGATCATGAATTACCCTTCCCTTAATAAATCCTCCTTGTTCTGGGGAGATTATGTGAGGTAGTAAGGAGCTCAACCTTTGGGCAAGAATTTTGGAGAGGACTTTGAAATTGAAATTTGATAGGCAAATAGGCCTATAGTCCTCACAAGTGATGGGATTCTCTTTTTTGGGGATGAGGATTATATTAGAGTGGAGTGGGAAATGCACTTAGGAATTGGGATGCCTAGAAAGAATTCTTGAACTGTTTTAGTACAGTCTTCCTTGATCTCCTCCCAATTATGTTTGTAGAATTCCCCATTGAATCCATCTGGGCCTGCTGAACTGTCTGCGTATAGAGACCAAATTGCATCTTTTACCTCTTGTTCATCTGGCAGAATGGTCAGTTTATCATTATCCTCATTCCTCAGTAAATTAGGAATGTTGTTAAGGAATCTGTTGCCATCCTTTAATTCCTTTTCCTGAAAGAGTTTTTGGAAATATTGGAGAAACTCTTCCTGGATATCCCCTTGATGATGTAACCAGATTCCTTGAGTGCTCTTAATCCTGGAAATCTTCTGATGTCTTCTCATATATATATATATATATATATATATATATAGACACACACACACATGTATATATATAGGGATTGACTCTAGTGAGATGACACATTATGGTGAGATGACATGCTTCAGTGAGATGACGCAAAGCTCACCACACTACACTACAAAGCTCACCAATGGACAATGCAAAGCTCACCTAGAAATAAAGTAAAGCTCACCACTTTGAATACCAAAACTCACCATTTTTTTAATTTTAAATATTTAAAATTAATAAAAAGTAAAATAGCAACACCAGTCAACCACCGGTCAGCGGCGGCGGTTGCCGGCGATTGGCAGTGGCAGATTCCGGCGACCAGACGGCGACAGGCGGCAGTTTCCGGCGACCGGCGGCGGATTCCGGCGACGGGCGGTGGGGGCAGATTCCGGCAACCGGCGGCCGGTGGTGGATTCCGGCGGCCGGTGGCGGATTCCGGCAACCGGCGGTGTCCGGCGGCGGGAGGTGGCGGTCAAAGGTCTCGGTCAACGGTAAAAGTCCAGTCAGCACCCCTTTCTTTGATTTTATTTTTCAAAAAAATTTAAAGTGTTGAAAAAATATGGTGATCTTTGCCTTACAATTTGGTGAGCTTTGTAGTTGTCCTAGGTGAGCTTTGCAGTTGGCAGTGGTGAGCTTTGCGTCATCTCACCGAAGCATGTCATCTCACCCTAAGGTGACAATCTTCAGTGAGATGACGCAAAGCTCACCACATTACACTACAAAGCTCACCCATGGCCAATGTAAAGCTCACTTGGGAATAAAACAAAGCTCACCACTTTGAACATCAAAACTCACCTTTTTTTAATTTTGAAAATTAAAAAATTAATAAAAAATAAATTGCATGACCGGTCAACCACCGGTCAGCGGCGGCGAGGCGGCGGAGACCGCCGGCGGTCGGTGGCAGTGGCAGCGGAGGGCGACGGCCGGTGGTGGCTGCCAGAGTCCAGCGACGGCGGCGGCGGAGGTCGCCGGTGTTGGTCGCCGGAGGTCGCCGGCGGTGCCTGCTGGAGTCCGGCGACGGCGGCAGCGGAGGTCGCCGATATATACATATATATACATATACATATACATATACATACATACATATATATATATATATATATATATATATATATATATATATATAATGGAGTTTCTAGAGAGAAGGCAGAGCGTAATATCCAGACGGCGAGATTTTTCCGACTACACCGCCACAAAGCCTGGCTCCGTTAATAATCCATGGCGCTGCTTCATCTGTGCAAATTGCTGGCCTTGCTCTCAGACTCGTGGAAGGGAAAGAGTCTCAAATTATACCAAACCTAGGAAAAACATCCACCAGTGGAATCGGTGGAGAAGATGGCCCTTCAAATCCCCAAATTCAAGAGATTTGAAGGATTCCTATGTCCTCACCAACACACGCCAGGTCCTCGGTGGTGGAAGAGAACACGCCATAGGCACCCATCCGAGCCGCAACACCACCTTTACTTTCAAAACTCAATCCAAGGTATTTGAGCTATTTCACTCCCATTATAATAAAAATTTCTGCGTCAGTGAGTGCGGGTACAAAAGATATTAGTTATGGTTTGATTTGGATACAATGAGTTGGTTGTTGGAATCTATCCCTAGAATTACAGTTAATAGATCCTGGGCTATTTTCTCCTTTGGTAATTTTCGTACAATTGAAGTTTCTGCTGGAGAAAATAGAAGGGGTGAGTTCATTAAAATTTTGGAGAAAAGAAGAGAAGGAAAGAGATTCATTTTAATTCCTCTTGGCCTTAAGAATGCTGAGATTAACTTGTTTTCCAAAGCCTTATCTTGCTTCATTGACAAGGTCTCTAAGCAGGAACTTTCTAGAACACCTGATACTCACAAAACATCCCTTTCTGTACTTCAAGAACCAGTTTCATCTCCAATTTCTTCCTTTCAAACTTCAGAACATCCCTCTCATAGCCCTCCCCAACCCTCACATTTAGGAGCTGAAACTCCAGAGTTAGACTCTCGTTTAGGGTCAGCCCAAAATGTAGAGGATATTGAAGGAGATAATGTTAACAAGAACTGGCACTTGGTTAAAACTTCTTCGAATGAAAAACCACTGGTTGTTTTCCGTGGAGGAACCATCCTTGTCCTACCACTCTCCCCCATCCACCCAATACACTATCTCCTTTAGCTCCTCCTTTCATACCTCTGGCGACAAACAGATTTGCCACTCTTCTCTCTCAAAGTGATGAAATAGGGATGAGAGGCTTTACTCATACAGATCCTCTATCTAAGATACATGACAAAAGCCTTATTCACTGTTTGAATGTAGTAGAGGACTTTGTTGAAGATAGGGATGGACCTATACTCTACACTCACTCAGACGGAGAGGGTAGAGTTTTTATAGACTCCAAGCTAAAACCTCTACAGATTGATTTTTCTAGATGTTCTCAACAACCTTTACATCTTAGAAAAGAGCTTAAGGGAAGAAGAACCTTTTCCCCCTCACAAATAGTCACCAGGAGCAAAGCTAAAATTCTGGCAGAAGGAAGGAAACTAACACCAGTTGGATGGGCGGAGGATCAGGCGGTGCACGAAACCCAAGTTTCATATGATGAGGAAATTATCAATTTCTTCAAACTCTGCTGCCCAAAGAAAAAAGAGGAGAGCCCTAAGATTACTAAAAAACCTTTGACTAAAAGTCAAAAGAAAAAGGCAAAGAAGAGGTCAAAAAAGGCAGCAGATATTGTGTATGATGACGATGATTTTCTCTATTGATGTTGTTTTGAAGTGATAATTTTGAGGTGTCTCAAATCGGCTATACATGGTTGCTCTTTTATTCAGTTGGATTTCCTCTAAGCATTGAGTTGATTAATTATTAGTGATATGTTTGCTTTCCTATGCTGGTGTTGGAGAGAGGCATTATCACAAAGTCCTGCAAGGACTCAAGATAAGGGGTTACGCTACAATAATCATATTTGATCAAACGCATAAGGCTACTCCTTAGCCTTTGAATTGAATATGACACCTTCAGTTTATCCTTTTTTGACTGGCCAAACATCTCAAGAGATGATTCTGAGCTGTGTTTTCGTACTTAGTATCAAGATGCTGTTGAATGAGAACCTAATTATGGAAAAAGTATCCAGGATATCTGCCTTCCCAAGTGTGCTTGCATATCTGTGTTTAGGAAGCTCCTTCTGCTTGGACGGAGGTGTACTGTGACAGAGCTGGGACAGTGGGACATAGTGCACATGATGATGGAGATGCTTTGACGAAAGGGACCTGCACTGGATTTTGAGGAATGACTCCCCTGATGTTTACTCTAGCTGGTCCATTTAGTCCCTGGCTTTTGGATTTTTACTTTTTGACTTTTTGTGAATGCTTCTTATCTTATGCTTTTGGCTTTGGTGTTGGGGTTGGCCACTCCTCTGCTCTTGTACTCTTTTTTCCTCTTATCAATAATATTTTCTCTTAAAATAAATAAATATATATATATATATGGCTCTAGAGAGAAGGCAGAGGATTCCTTCCACCCTTCCGGCCACCTCGCCGGCGAACACAAAAGGGAAGCAAAGCATCAATCAGGAACAAGCTAGGATTATCCCAACGAAGTTATTTTCAGAGTTATTCAAGCATGATAAATCCACAGCTATTGGCCTGGTTGAAGGTTTCTACAAATCCTTCCCTTCAGTTAGCTTTAATGAAGAAGATGAAAGAAATCTTCAAAAATTCATGCACTACTCGGAAGTTGGTAGATTCCAGAAGGAGGTCCACCTATCTTTGGTTAAAAACATGCTTATCAAACTCAATTTTGGGGCGTTCAAAATAAGAAGAATCAATACTTTTGATGTTCTGTTTACATTCAAAGAAGAAAAAGACTACATTCGATTCATCCTGAAGCGCATTTGGAACATTCAGAGCTCGTCTTTCCATGTCTTCAAATGGATGAGTGATTACAAATCAAATGAAGAATCTGCTGTTTTTCCAGTCTGGGTCACCTTTGAGCATCTCCCTTTGCACCTTATTTAGTATCAAGCTTTATACACCTTAGCTAGCCGTCTTGGTAAACCTTTGATGATGGATGAATACACAGCTAACAGAGATCGAAGGGACAGTGCTCGTGTGTGCTTGGAGTTGGACCTTTCCCAGCCACCTCCTCCTAAAATACACATACGTATGGGAGGTAAGGATATCTTTGTGGATTGCACTTATGAGAACAGGCCATGCTACTGCACCACCTGTAAAAAGATTGGACACTCTTCAACAAGGCACACCACTGCTCAGCCCACCGAAAAAGTTCCCTCCGGCAAGGGTAAGGAGGGCATCCCTGATTCAAATGTCAACAAATGGATAAAAGTCACAAGCAAGAAGCCAAAAGGTACAAGTCATGTTGCAGTTAAATCAGCTCATAATGTCACAAAACCAGGGCCCACTATCTATGAATGGAAAAAGAAAGGTACAGCTCATCTCAATTCTTTTTCCCTCTTGGATATGCTTGATCTCAGTTCTAATCTCGACACCAACTTAAGCCCAGCCCAAAATACCTTTTCAAATTCTTTTAGCCCAGCCCAAATTCCCTCTTCAAATCCTAATTCCCCTAAGGGCTCTATCTCCTTTGATCCTATATTCCCTACCCTGTCATAAGCTAAAGCTTATGCCCATAAAACTAAGCCCATTAAGCCCATTCAACCCCACACCCAGGAACCTCTAAACATCACTCAAACCTCTGAACCTTTCAAAGGATCTGTTGATGACTGCCTACATCACCACTCACCTGAAAGAGGCCTGGCAATGCTGTTGGAAGATATTCATCACTCCCCACTTGTGGAATCCCCAAGCCACAGAAGTATTGGTTATCACTCTGAAGGAGAAACATCCAATGGAGTCCAGGACATCAGTGATCTTGAACCCAAGAAATTTCTAATACCTGAAGCAAATAAAGTGACGATTTCAGTTCCAAAAAAGCACATCAAATATTCATCCATACCTACTTCTAGCATGATTAGAAGAAGCCACAAGGGGCATAAAGATAATATTTTCTACAGTCTTCCATGATTGCCATTTTTGGAATGTCCGGGGAGTTAGATCCTCTCTCAAAAGGATCAAAAGCCTAAAAAAATTATATAAATGTTGGTTCTTAGCCATTATAGAACCTATGGTGGATGGAAAATATATTCAAAAATATAGCTTCAAAGTTGGTATGCATCATTTTTTGGCTTCTAGTGACAACAAGATTTGGGTTTTTTGGAATGGTGATAAGCTCAAATTCAACAACTCTTCTTCTGGCAACCAGTTCCTTAGTTGCTTTTTTACTAATACTGTCACTGACAAGGAGATCACTATCACCTCTATCTATGGCAAACATTCTGGGCTGGATAGAAGAAAACTTTGGGATGATCTGAACACACTACAACCAAATGGGCAATGGATAATAGGAGGGGATTTCAATATTATGGCTGAATGGAATGAACATAAAGGCAAATCTCTCCCTATTCAAAGGGACATGGATGAATTTAAGGATTGTATTCAAACTTGCAACCTTATTAATCCTAAATTCATTGGTTCTCCTTTTACTTGGTCTGGGACCAGAAGCAATGGGGTGGTTTTCAGAAGACTTGACAAGACTTGACAGGATCCTCATTAATCACTTCATTCAGGATTTCTATGATGACATTGTTGTTAACCATCTTAGCAAAACCAGTTTAGATCACAGTCCTTTGGTTATTACTTGTAGTTTTGATGATTTCTCAGGTCCCAAACCCTTCAGGTTCTTAGACTGTTGGACTACTCATGAGCAGTTTCTTAAAGTGGTTAAGGAGTCTTGGGGGCATGACCACAACCATGGGGGTATGTACGGACTTGGCATTAAACTCAAAAGACTAAAAAAAGCTCTCAATCAATGGAACAAAGAAGTTTTTGGTAATATTTTTGACAATCTCAAGATGGCTGAGGATGAAGCTCAGAGAGCACAAGATAAGTATCAGAACGACCCCTCTCCTATCAACAGATCTGAAGACAATAAGGCCAAAGCCATGCTCATCAAAGCTACCAATCAAGAATATCTATTTTGGAGGCAAAAGGCAAATCTCAAATGGTACACTGATGGGGATTGCAACTCCAAATTTTTTTCATGGTTATGTGAAAAGCAGAAGAGCCAATAACAAGATTAGAATTATCATTAACAGTGAAGGGAGAGAGATCTCAAACATGAGGGAGATTAAGGAAATTGCTGTTAATCACTACAAGAAACTTTTTGGATGTCCTACACATACTCAACCTCAGCCTATCCTGGACTTCATTCAACCCTCCATCTCAAATGAAGATAATTCAAGAATCTGTAGACTTCCCCATGAGGAGGAAATAAAAGAAGCTATTTGGGGTTTGGATCCAGGTAGTGCACTTGGTCCGGATGGTTACAATGGAAATTTTTTCAGGTCCACTTGGAATCTAATCAAAACTGATGTCATCAGTGCCTCACAGGAATTTTCTTGGGGATCCCTGTCCCAAAATCCTATGGCAGCACTTTTATTAGCCTTATCCCAAAAAAGGCTAACCCCGAAACATTTAATGATTACAGACCCATCTCTCTGTCCACTTTCATGAGCAAGGTAAACACTAAAATTCTTGCTAACAGGCTTCAAAAAGTGCTTCCCAAAATTATCTCTAAAGAACAAACTGGCTTTCAACAAGGAAAAGGCATTGATGAACAAATCATATTGGTGAAGGAAATGGTTCATAAAATTGATGCTAAGGTCAGGGGAGGTAATTTCATTATAAAGTTGGATATGGAGAAAGCTTTTGATAATCTGGAATGGGATTATATCCAGCTGATTCTGAGGAAATTTGGATTCTCTCATAATGCTCAGAGACTCCTCATGGCTAATCTATACTCTACTCACTTTTCTCTCCTAATCAATGGAAGTCCTACAGGTTTTTTTCAGATGAAAAGAGGGGTAAAGCAAGGTGATCCCCT